ACTCACACTTGGAGCAAATCGCACGCTTCTCACGTTTGACCCGCCTTCCAAACTTCGAACGTGCTTCACAACACCCTGAAGCTACAACCATGCGAGTGTTGCAAACCGTAGTCAAGTCTCGCTTCAGTTGAATGAACGATTATCATTAAGTGTTTAGTTCCTAAAGCTGTTTTTTGTTTTCGTCGCTAAAGGAGGCGAAGCACAAAAATGTTTTCTTTTCCTTGGTTTTCAGTAAAGGAATTTTCCATCTCAAAGTTGCTGTCTAAGAAAATTCTTTAGGGGCGCGAAGGGCTCCTAAAGCCCATTCCAAAAAGTCAGTAACTATATTTAAGGTGTCAAACTTCTAGCACACGACAACTGGTGGCCTAATCGGTTGATCGAGAAGCTTCAAATCTATCATTTATCAAACTCAAGAGCACAAATAGTAGTATATTCAAGGGCCTATCTCCTTTTTTCTGTACTAGAGGGTTTTTTTACATCATTGTACATTTTGTATTTTGAGGGCGGAACCCTGGAGCCAGGGTACCTAAACCTAGTTTTAATTAGTTCACTAGAATGACCCCATCAAATGTGTCGGTATCTTAAGTTGACAGTCTTGACCAGATCCTCGAAACTTGATAACTAAGTCTCCCTCACAGCCGTTTTTGTCTCGTCACACAACGCTAAACGGGAGCGTCGCGTGACGAGACAAAAATGGAACAACACTTTCAAGAAATCAGCATTTTTTTTATATTCACCACTAAAAAGATCTCGAGAAACAAGTTATTTCTGAAGAAAAATAAAAATAACCATTTGCACGTACAGCGAACGGACTGACCAACAGTACTAGCTTGTACAATTTAAACGAAGTTAATTTTAAGTTTTTAGGCGATAGAAAAGGTCCAACGAAAGGTTTATCTTGAATTTTGTAAAATTGACTCAGTATTTTTGTATCAAGTCTATCTTTTGAACTATAAAAACTGTTTTTATATTTGTAAAGGCACGTATTTACGTCACCCACGACGGCATGAATTAAAAAAGATATTAAAATGTGATCTTGAATAGCCGCCGTGGCTCATTTTCAAAAACTAAAATGTGTTTGCGACCCTTTCAAAATCTACCACAAAACGTACAGCAAAAAAATAGAAAGGCGTAGTTAAGGCTGAATAAATGATGAAAGAAATCTTCAACTTCCGTTTCTTCTTTCACCATTCGTTTATTATTTTTTTTTTAAGTGTACCCAGTCAAGTTGAAAAATTAAGGAAATTGCAGGGGTGGGGGGTATTTCAAGCACCCCCTGGAATGGATATTCCTGGGGTGGTGGGGGGATCTAAAGTTAAAATGCCCTCCATAGGGGGTATGGATATTATCTGGAACCACACAATCTGTCTTCAAAATCCGTCAATATTGACTGATAAACATACGGATAAAGTCAGACGAATTATATTCCGTGTAAAAGGTAGGCAGGCGAACGGCAAAAGTGATTAAAAGGTGCCAACTTTTAATCATTAATTTCAATTAAATCAAGCGTTCTGATTGGCCGAAATCCAAAAATCGCCAAAAAAACAGTCAGAAACGTGACAAAAACACCTTTTTTTAGCTTTATTTTCCCCATTCCCCTGTCTTATACCTCACGGCCAAGTTTCAGCATTGTTCTATGCGCCAATCAAAAGTTAGAGCGGAAAACGTGCAACACACGCGCGACCTTGTTGTGACCCCATCTTAGTGTGACACTTGAGATGTTAGGAAATTTGTCTTTTACCCGAAGAAATCTCGTCAATTTCTTCGTGAAAAATCTGCATTTTTTCTTTATTGAATATTTATCTCAAATTTACTGTATTTTATCATCGGAGTGATCGTCAAAATGCTCTTAAACATGGTTTGCTGCCGTCCTCGACATGCCGAGTCGCCATGTGGGAATTTGGGCCCGGCGTAGTTGTTTTCGTTGTCAGGCCGGATCAGGAGGAGATCAGAATAATTGTGGCACTAGAAATTGGAGTACAGCTGGGCATAAAAGGAGAAAGCGAAAGATTTGTTGTTTTTACAAGGATGAATTTATTTCTCGAAGAGATGTAGAACACTTGAGCTTGAGGTAAGCTGAATTCAATAGATTTTCGCACCTCCGCGCGCATTATGTGTTATTCATGTGTTTGCCCCTTTCGAAACTTCCATATTCCGTGTATCTTTACCCATCTTTCATTCGATTTTTTTTCTCTCTAGACTGCTTCATCAAGCGAAATGGAAGTTCGCCGTGGACCTTAAGTTAAAATGAGCGAATTGAAATTTGTGACACGTTTGCATTTTGTACCTTTGAGTTCTGAGACGGAGAATACCGAGACGGAAGCCGCTTAGGTATCATAAATAGCTGTCACTGGTGTTTGAGTTTCTCTTGGTACGGAAGATCTAGCGAGCATGACTGTAGCTTGCCTTTATTTTTTCCAAGGACGAGAGAGATTGTAAGAAGGATTTTTATAGAGTAATATCAAAACCTTGAAAACAGATAAACTGTAGGAGAGCTTTTTCTGAAACCCGATTATCCGAACATGCAGGAATTTTTTCTATCTGGGCAACATCCTTTTTTTTTCCAAAAGCAGAACATTTAGATAACATTTGGATTTGATTTTGTGTACTTGTTGTTGTTCTGTATGGTGGCCGAATATGAACGCGCGACATTGGCGCGTTCGCCAGATTCGCCACGTGAGAGTGAATTGCTGCTGTTTACGATCATGGTTTTGACATTTCTTTTGTGAGAGCCGACGTAAATGTTGTTCCCAACGTCGCTGATTGATGTAACACTGTGCTCATCTTCGTGTAATTTCATATCAGTTTAACTTCCTCGGGTTTGGCGCATAGAAATCTTTTAAATTTTAGATATGTTATATTTTTCAACATAACAAAGCAATAGACGAAATAAAAAGTTGTTCGAATGAGTCTTAAGCTATCTTAATTCAACTTTAAAATTCAAATTTCGCGCTTTTAGCTGTATTGACCAATCAGAGCATTCAGATTTAATTTGATTAGAGAAATTAGCGCCTGAAAAATAACTGACGCTATTGCCGCGGGCTATTGTTTTTCTGCCTGCTTCTTAGCTGGACCATTACTTAAAACCGAATTACAATAGTAGTAATACCGTTCCGTTGTTACATTAAACGTATTATCACTCGATGGACATTTTTCTACCTTTTCATTGGCCGTACAAATAATTGCCAGCTCGAGCGCAATATCGTCCAACTGTGTTTAGGTACAAATTATATTCTGCTCTTGCGTAAATGGAACCACGCTTTTCTCCTCTCTTGTGATTGCTCAGGCTTAAAAATGGCAGATCGCTTCGTTTCTCATGGTATGTAGCGTTAAGAATATGGTGGTAGGACTGTGGTGTGTATGCTCAGCAGCATTGCGTGCCAAGATCTGTGTGTGTGAAGATGAACATGGTAGAGACAGTTGTATGAATTTACTGTTCCATCTACATTTGTGTATAAACCTCACCAACTGGTTAACAAATAAGTTAAAGATCGATTAATTGGTAAATTATCTTCGGGACAGTTATTTAGGCAAAAGCCTAATTATGTTGGTATTTGCTGGCTTTAGTTTCAGGCGAAGCGAAGAGATCCAAGTCTTCAAAAAAAGCCAAAAGGCCGTTATGTTCAAGTAATACTCAAGCTCCAAAACATCCGAGACTAGTGAGAGATAAAGGTAAAGTTTTTCTTTTCATTATTTAGAGAAGGGTTAGTATTTTATTGCATGTATATGGGAGAGTATAATAAACTTTCTCAATATAGCATAGTAGGGCCTTGCGTCGTCGGTCTTACGTTCCCTGAGCGCGGCTTCATAACCTGCATACCTGACAAAACACAGTGGTGGTGCTTTTCTTTGGGGTATTAGATCACTTAAGCTAAATTGCAGCAAGCTATGCAGGGGCTTAACCATTTAGCGTCCGCCCGCCCGCAAGTAGTTTCGAATCTATTTCAATCCTTCTCTTTCGCTCTCTTTATTTTCCCTTTGCCTTTCATATATATAGCTAGCTTTCTTGCTCACCATATCGTCTTTTTTTTTCGCATGGAATTGTGGCTGGCTAACTTTCTAGAAAAGAGACAAATTTAATCTGCAAAGAGTGGATGAATTTCTCCCAAAAATGTTATTTGGTTTTTTGTGTATAATATTTTTGTCAGGATTGGTCAGAATTTCCAAAATGAGGTACCTGTGGAAAGAGCTATCTTTGCTTACAAATGTATGTTGCTTCATACAAATATTATAATTTAATAGGAGAATTTAAAATGGCCTTCCTTCTGACTGAAGGGAGAAGGAACATGAAAAGCTTAATCCGTTTGTAGTATGAAACCTTTACATGTAGGTTTGTATTATTGACATAAATTTCCTGATCTTTTTGTTTCCAGCAGTATGGGACAACTCAGTTGTGAAAATACTCAAAGCTGAATACAAAAGGCGCTCTCAGTTAAGACCTCTTCTTTGGGACAGCACCATCGAGTTACCCCTAGAGAATGTCTACACGAGACTCAAAATCGTTTCACGACGAAAATTGGCCATCCAGGTAAAAGACAATGAGGTGAATGCTTTCTACAGCTTCAAAGCTCCTTTTAAAGGTGAGGATGTCATGACGCTAGCTGACTTCTTGGACGAAAATAGAGCAAATGTGTTCGACAGCGTCATTGTTCCCGATAAAATTGAGGATGTCGTGTCGCCAGCAGAAGGGGGAAACGCAGACGTCCTGAGAGAACGTGACGAGGTCAACGTATTTGAAATCTTCAAGACCCTTGAAAAAGGAGAGGATGTTATGACGCTAGTAGAAGGAAGTCCAGGAATCGGTAAAACTACGTTTTGCCTCAAACTTGCTTATGACTGGGCACGTGGAAAAATCCCAACGGAGTGTTCCTTTCCCAAATTTGAATTTGTGTTGCTCCTCAAATGTCGTGACATTGATGGAGATATTATGGACACCATAAGAGAACAACTTCTGCCCAGAGATATCAACAAAAGAGACTGTAGAGAAATTGTTGCACTTCATGGAGGACATTCATAACCAGGAGAAAATTTTAATCATTTTGGATGGTTTGGATGAGCTGCCTGAAAAATCCCAGCATCATGTGGACGAGCTGCTTCACCGAAGAATTTTACCTTTCTGTTATGTTTTGGCTACTTCGCGACAAGAAAGAGGTATTGATGTACGAAAGAGATTCGTCTTTGACATTCATTTGGAGATCAAAGGATTCACAGAAGGCGATGCTTTTGAATATGTCAGAAAACATTTCGCAAATATTGGTCGAGGACATTCACCAAAGGGAGAGAGACTCATAACAGAAATAAAAAACAACGAGTTTTTGCATGCTCTCCGAAGCAACCCCCTTAATTTACTCCTTCTTTGTGTCATCTATGAGGATTATGAGGGAAAGCTGCCATCATCCCGTTGTAGGCTTTATCAAGTTATTGTCCTTTGCCTTTTAAGACGATACTGCGGTAAACACAACCTGCCAGCCCCCGAAGGTGACGACGACCTAGAGAGGTGTTTTGAGAAGGACATACTTGCACTAGGAGAGCTAGCTTGGATGTGCCTGCTGAGTGATCGTCATGGTTTCCGTGAAAATGAATTAGCTGAGCTTGAAAGAAGATACAAAGGATTGGTATCCCGTCACATAGGCCTTCTTTACAAGGAAGAAAGTCTGAAGAGGTTAACACCTCAACATGAGTACTACTTTCTTCACAAAACCTTCCAAGAGTACTTGGCTGCGGCATATGTTGCGCACAAATTGCGAAGAAATCAATTGAATTTGTTTGAACATTTAAGCTTTGATGATTTGGTGGATAAATATCGTCAAGTGTTTCTTTTTGTGTCTGGTATACTGGGGATGGAGGCCAGCGTTTTATTCTCCCAGATTGGTGTAGAGCTGAAGAACGGGGAAGGATGGAACTGGAACTACTGTAGGGTCCTGAACAAGACCCTTGATTTTGACATTCTTGTTGACCCTTTCAACCGAGGTTTGGCAACAGCGACTTTTCTTACGGAAAGCTTCAATGAAAGTGGACACGCTGAAAAAATGGCAGTTACTCTTTGTTCCTATATACCCTTCCCACAGCAAGTTGATGCTGACCTTTCGGGTCAGGAGACATGTAATATATTTCACGTTTTAGAGGCATGCAAAAGTTTTTGTAATTTACAGAAGCCAGTTAATCTCACCATTCGTGCTGATAAACATGACATATTTCACTATCAGAGAATTGCAGAGTACATACAATCCTGCCCAAAGACACAGAAACTTAGCCTTTTTACCCCTTCAATCACATTAGACCTAGCCAACGCGCTACACGACGGCTTATTTGATAACACTTCTTTATCAGAGTTTACCCTACAAATGTCTGACAGTATCCCTTGCAACGCAGCTGTTTTAATCGGTGAATTGTTAGCTGCACGCAGATCCTTGAGAAAAGTAAAGTTTCAACTTGACAGAGTGTGGGGTGAGACTTGGGTCAGCGCTATTGAACCTGCTTTGTTTGCGGACACTCCTTTGAAGTCTGTGGACCTCCATGTTCGAGGATCATTGAGTGATACTGCAGTCCATGGTTTAGGAAAGCTTTTATCAAATGAAGCTTTGGCCTCGTTTTCCTTTAATATCTCTGGAGATTTGCTAGAATTTGTAGCTGCTGTTATTAGCAGAGGAATCGCGCAACAAACCACCCTCAAGGCATTGGCTTTCAGCGTTGACGGCAACCTTAGTCTCTCTAGTGTGAATGCTCTTCAAAACAGTATTCTAGAAAATAGTTCTCTAAGTGATTTAGTAATGACTCTCCATGGAGAGATTCCTGACAACTGGCAGTCTGTTGTGGAAAAGCTTCGTTCGGTAAAGAAGGGGTCACTTAACTGTACTTTTGATCCAGACCCAGGCAGCAGTGTTACATGTAATCAAGTGGCGCTTTTTCGTCCTGCTGTAGTCGAGAAGGAGCTAGAAACAAAACAACACTTTACTGTAGTTCTTTGGGGAGAACTGAAGTGTAGTGGAGCAGAAGATTTATGTAAGATACTGGTGCGTGTCCCCCTGACAAGCCTGACTCTGAGAGTGCATGGAAAATTAAGTGATGGTGTTGCTAATATTATTAAAAGATATATCGGACAACAAAATACACTATCCACCCTGACAGTCAATACTTGGAGAAAGTTGACCCTGGAGACAGGAACCCTACTTCAGGAACTATCAGATAAAAACGTAACTGTTCAAGTAAAAGAGCATGGCCTCTCTGTTGTTCCTAAGGAAGCGTGTAATGCTCTTGATGTCTCTATTGACAATCCTGCATCGTTGACACCAATGTTCTCTGAAGTTAAACATACCAGAAAGGAGAGGATCAATCTTAAAATAATTAACGATAAAGTAATTAGTGACTGGCCACGACTGCTAGGTGATGCTTTAGCAGATACCACATCACTAACCACACTGGATCTTACAGTGAGCAACTACACAATGAATCCAGGAATAGGGAAAGACCTTGGGGATAGTTTGCTTCGAAGTTCTTCATTAACAGTCTTAAGTCTTACAATCAACAACTACAGTAACATGGCAGAAGGCTGGGAATGCACACTGATCAACAGCTTGGCTAAAATGGCGTCATTAACTACACTCAGTCTCTCAATTGACGATCGTGGCGAGGTGAGGAAATTTGAAGAAGATTTGAAGGAAGATTTGATGGCAGTGAAGTCCTTGTCTACACTTTCTGTCATAATCAATGGTAGTAAGTTAACTTACTTTTGGGGTAACTTTCTGACAAAATGTTTGTATGAGTGCAATTCACTAAAAAAACTCTGCCTTACAAGCAACAACTATAAGGAGGAACATGAAAATAACCCTTACAATGTCACCTTCAATCCCTTCCTCCCTTACATTAATTCAACAATGCCTGTTACTTGGGTAGAAGGTCTCAGTTTTGGACTGGCAAGTACCACATCATTAAAGGAACTAAACATGACGATTAACAACGTTACCTGTAGTGATTCTGCCTGGAAACACATATTTTTTATGGGACTCCCAGAAAACAAGTCAATAACCTCCCTCACTGTTACAGTCAGTGATTACGAATATTGGAGCCGTGAATTTTGGGTTCGTCCTCTGAAAAGATGTTTGGTGAAAAACAAATGGTTGACTACACTCACTCTGACAGTAAATGACTACTGTGAAGCTGAAGGGCATGAACACTGGTCTCATCTATTGGGACAGGATAATTTTCCAGAAAACTCGTCATTGACTGAACTCAATCTGACAGTCAACATCCGTAGTGAAGTAAGTGAAGACTGGTTACCAACTTTTTGTGATTATTTAATGAGGGACTGCTCCTCCCTGAGAACAGTGAGATTGCAAGTCAACAACTGTTCGGCTTCAAGCAAAAGTCGTATATATGACTTACACAAACTTCAGTTAAAATACCGATCATTATCCACATTTGAACTCTCAGTAACTTTCTATGGAGAGTAAAATAAGTTACAAAAGTGTCGTGACATTGTAGATGGGTGTCTTTTAGACGTAATTAGAGTAAGAGAAAAGGACAAAGTAAAAGTGTGGCTTGAAAAGAAAAGGATTCGAAGGGACAGACGGCTAGTTGCTGGTGCTGAATATATCTAACAGCCCTAACTGTTCATCAGTATAATGCCCATTATTAATCAGAGGAATTCTAACGCAAAACGTTTTGTGTTAATTCTTGTCTCTTGGTGCTGTTTTCATAGACATTGCCAAGAAAGTCTTTTGTCAATTTGTCTCCCACTTCACAGGCCCAATTGACAAGAAATGCATAGTGCTTACTATATCCTCGGCTACTGGATAATTCCGCGATATCCAGCTGATAATTTGTTAGGGAAACAACCTATTTTATCAAGTACATTTGAGGTTTGTCCTAAGGACCATTAGCCACCATCTCAACAGCTGTTTAAGTGCCTGTCATGAAGGTGGGAGACCACAGGTAGATGATCATGAGGTAACCCACTTTAGTGGGGTTACCCACCTGTCCATATAGTCTCTCATATTAATTTGATCACGTTTAGATGATAGGTGGAGTGACCCGCCAAATGTTACCTCATCTATCTGGGGTCAACATCCATGTAAACAGGCCCTAAGGCTATGTCTGCACTATATACTGGATACCATTTTGTGCGAACGTGAAAAGTTATCTGGTATGGTGTGAACAGCAACTGCACAGAACTGGAATTTTGGTGCACTAAATACCATCTTCACTTGCGTCTCAGTACGCTTCCGGTCATCGCTCCTACTCATTTACTTCTGCTACGGTGCGAATCCTTGTTCACATTGCGACGAAGAGGGACAGAAACTTATCCGATATATCACGATCCACTTCAAAGATTGGCGAGGTGCAGCGTTATTCCGTTACAAAAATCGAGCCGAAATCACCGGTTGTTATGTGTGAACATGTGGTTTTTCATGTCGGCGCCAAGACCTATCCAGTATAGTGTGAACATAGCCTAAATGAATAAGGGAATACTTTTAGCTAGCTTAATACTCATTTGACTTGTTCTTTTCATTGCAAGCCAAAACGTATGCATTTATTTGTTGTATATTTTTCACTTTGGAAGCCAAGTGAAATTTGTGGTTAATCTTTTGTAGGATCTATTTTCGTGTGAGTTAACTTCGTATTTACACGTGAGAGCCTTGTTTTTCAGGTGAACTTCATGTAAGTTTAACAGCTTATCGTGAATGATGTTATTGCACTGCAACTTTATCTAATTCCATTTCTGTCCGTAGAGATACAACTCCCTTAAGAGAGTTCAATATTTGGCAACCCTTAGAATATTGAAGCCTGAATTTCATCCGATTACTTCGAGTCATTATTACTCCCTTAGTTACTGAAGGAGTAATAACGACTCGAAGTAATGGGATGAAATTCATGCTAAGAATAGTGTTAATTGCAATTACTATATATGAACTGACTTCACCTCAGGAAAACATAGAGCGAGTGTAGCATGCGAGTCCACGCTCAAATCAGGTGGGAAATAAAAAGGCAATGCGAGGGGAGAAGACAAGCAACCATAAAGTTTATTTTTGTTGTGAATTGTTGTTGCTTAGGAGACGTCTATATTTAATTTGTTTGGCACAAAGCCATGATTTTGTAATCTACAAGTAAATTCTTTTCCTAACTTCAGTTCCATAGCAAGTAAGGACACGTGTTAAAATTAGAAATGAGACTTGCAAGTTGCAGTCTCTTTTTGAAACTGTAATGTCAATTGGCTAGGTACTTTATTTAGTACTTTCAGTGGACAAAATATTGTTACAGTTGACAGTGTAAATAAATTGTAAAATTTATTGACCTACATTTACCTGAGTGAATAACACTGTGAAGGCAGCAGAAATATAGTAGATCATGAGTCAAATCCTACATACATGTAGTATATTGCATTAAGGAGACGGTTTTTTAGCAAAAACTCTTTGAAAAAGCTGATTTCATTTTCAAACTGACTGGTGTGATCATGGTCTAACCGGCTGGCCAGTTCTGACTTTTTGAAAGTGCCCTTGGTTGCTGGAGCGCTTGATTGCAGGGTTCGATTCCCAGGTCCACTGTCACTGACTAATAAAAACCAGTGATTAAAAAATAACTGAGAATTGAAGGAACCACCTTTGCCCTTCAGATGGCTAGACCTTTGTGTGGCTTAGATAACCACGTAAAATGGCAGTGTAGTCTTGTCTTCAGAAGGAGATATAAAAATAGTGTCCTCTATTAGTACTTTCATGCTAAATACATCAACACTTAGATTAAGTGGTTCCCTATCCCTGGTTGTTCAAAATATGTTGGAAAGTGCTATCCAACAGATAAATCACTGTTCAGCGGTTAAGTATTGGGAAAACCAATAATTGTGCTATCTGGTAACAAGAGATTTAACCAATGGATAGTGTTATCCAGCTTAAAAATATCTGGGCCCAGAAGAATTTCAGTTCTTGATAAATTAAACACAGTAACCTGAAACAGTCTTCTTCATAGTTGTTTTATTGCATGTTATTTTCAAATAATATTGTAATCTTTGTACATTCTTGGAATCTTTTTTGTTTGAAAAGGTCTGCTTTAAGGTTATCACTATATCACTTCTTTGGGAAAAGTCTAATAAATATAATCATCCACATAAACACCATGCAGACTGTAATTATCATAATCCAAATCCACCAGGAACATGTTGTCTGTGTTAATTCCTCAAGTCTTTCTGATTCTCGTTTTAGTTTCTCAAAATTTGAATCTGCAAGCTTTGTTGACTGCTCCAAGGTCTAAAAAACAAAACACAAAATTGAACAGTAAGTTTTTCAAAGTTTATCTCTGTTGTCTGTACATAGAGCCTTCCTAGATTGACCAATTTGTAAATATGCCTTCCTTGTTATTAACGCACATATCTATTTGTTTTGAACATTAGTTATTCTTTTCAGTAAATTAAAGCCCAGGTCACTGAGGTGGAACAAGAGACCCTAATTATGACTTGCTGGTTCTAAAACAATGGAAAAATACATTAAAACAATACCCCTTGGCCCAAGGCCTTTTTAAAAATAATGACCTCGGGTGCTCAGTAATTATTTTTAACAAGGCCTTTGGGCTCAGGCATTATCCTTTATATGAGCCATTTTAAAGCCTTTACTTAAGTCCACATCAACAATTCTGAAAAACCATGTTACGGTAGCTTTTAAACAACATTGTTTTGAATAATGCACGTCAACCAGAAGTGGACTTTTTGCATTCTTGGCGGTGGTTTTGCCCAAAATTTGAGTAATTTGTCTATACAATAGTAAAGAAACTTAGTGATACAAATTTATATGGCTGTCACAAGTTGCAGGAAACAAGCAGGCAGGGAATCAAACAGGTACAGATTTCATTTGGTTCTATATTTATTCTATTAAATTTATAACAGTTAGGCCAGGGGTCACCTTGGTAGCTGATCATATTTATGACAGCCTTCAAATTGTGTGCACAAACCTTGGTATTCAAGAACAATGTGTTTATCATAACACTATTTTCCTCACAACCGTGTATAATAAAACAATTCTTATTGGATTTGGCTTTTGGGATACCGTATTTCCTTGAATAATAGCTGGGGACGATTATTTCTTTTTTCGCACCAAAACGGGGCGATTATTCGAGGCAAGGCAATTATTCAAGGGAGGTGACATTTCAAATATTGCTGACTAGAAGTCGTGCCCTAAATATTTGTTCTATTTTCCCATTAAATAGAAAAAATAATCACATCAGATAAACTGAACATTGGCATTTAAACTATTCCAAATTTGGTTCCTTGATTAATTTTTGCTGTCAATTTCTGTGGCATCAGAGCTTGAATCATTACTGATCAGTTTTGCTGAATCAGACTCCACTTTAAAGCTCCATCCTCCAAGTTCCACGATGGCTATCCCTAGTGGGTAACCTATAGAGGTAAGGGAGGCGATTATTTTAAACATTTCCGTCAAAGGAGGGGCAATTTTTCAAGGGAGGCGATTAATTCAGGGACGGCTATTATTCAAAGAAATATGGTATTCGCAATAATCAAAGTCTCAGTAAGAGTTATCAGCTTCAGCCAATAACATTTACTTGACCTACTCTGTTTCAGATGTCACAAAAAGACATCCAATAATTTGTTATTTACTGTTATTAAAGGACAAACATCCTAGTAACCTTGTTATCTTCTTGAATAATGTTGCTGGCCATGACAGATGTATGTTTTATATGCTGAGCCATTTTTATCATTTCCTCTGCTATATTTTCTTGTAAGTTCTGATGGTATTGTAGAACTGAGTCAATGCTTTCATCATTTGTATCACTTTTCTTGTTGCCTGTTAATCTTCAAGAAAAAAGATTGTCAAAAACAAGTAGCCTGCATGGCAGACACTACATGTACAGCCTGTATGGACTAAGAATGAGTTCCTTTGGGATGATCCAGGTCAGAGATCACTCGGCCATTGCCCAGTTTGAAATCGAGAGGGGCTGGGTATGTGTCGATTTATTATGGGATAACAACATGAGATCCACATGGTCAGAAAAAGCACATTGAGGTTATGAAAGTGTGGTGTTGATCAGGCCCAATATCAAGCAAGATACAGCTATCTGTAAACTTGAAAATCACTTTTATAAGAGATGTACATGTATGGATTGCCGGTCACATCATCCGTACATCTATTTATATCGTTCAATATACGCCCGATAAACACCAACCTTGAGAATGTTGCTAATTCGCTCCTTCTGACTATATAGGTCTCGCGTAGTTTAGCCCATGATAAACTGGCTCATATCCAGCACCTCTCGATTTGAAACCATGCAATGGTACATCAAGTGAACTGATGAATCCTTTCCCAGGGTTGATTCATTGAGTCCTTTGATGTGCTGTATTCTGAGTGATCACAAGTCACTAATCCTTATTTGGATCATTCAAATGGAACACACTCTGAGGGTTTAGACAATGTCTGGGAGGGAGCTGGAACACAGGCTATAAAAGGCAGATTGTTCAATACTAACCAACAATAATTGAATCATGAATTATTCATGATGCAGAAAATATTAAGTTGACACCAGCGCATACTTAAAAAGTCATACTGACTTGCTATCAGGGATTTGTTTCCATTGACTTTTATTTTTGGAGTTTCCACATAATACACCCTGTTTACCTTGCAATTGGTGAGAAAATCAGCTTTCTGAGGTTTTACTGACTTCAAAAGATGAAAATAAAGCTTTTCCTCCCCCATCCCCTCCATGCAACGTTGTGCTGCTGTTCAAGCTATGTACAGAAAACAACAAACACCCCAACTTTGAATTGTGTAGGGGGGAAGGGTGTGCATTCTTTTGTTCTCTGAAGTTACCCTATTTGAGTACAATGTCTCAACAATTTTATCACCGATTGAGGCTTTGCATATAAATAAAGTTTTTGTTCTCAAAAGTCCTTGGAATTACACAGTTCTGCCAGGAGCATTTGAAGACTATAGTTTATGCCAAGTGTTGCATTGGGAGCAAACAGAGTGATTATGGGGGATTTGAAAATAAAGAGTTATTTGTTACAGCGACTAAGGGACCAAACTAGTAATATGCAAGTGAAATAATTATAATCAGTCACCTGTTTCGCACTCCATGACTGTCTTTCTTATTGTCTGGAAAATAAGCAAGGTTCCTTTTTAACTTTAAATCTAATAAATGAATCAAATTTATTATTCAATTCACTTATAAAAAACCAAAGTATTTCATGTCACAAAATGCCCAAAAACAAGGCAAAATGAATGTGCCATGGTAAGGTGCCCTGAAAGTCCTTAGTTTTGGGAAAATATTGGGCTAAGAAAACCTTTGTAATGTGTCGAGGAATGTAAGCCAGTAATGTGCATGATCCTTACAAAAAATCAACAAAAATAAATGTGAAATAAACTAACTTACAAGTGCATTGTATCAGAAGTGAAATATTTTTAGCTGCATTATTCTCACCTTTTCCCAGAAGTTCACTTCTCATCTCTTTATTAATCTGTGACTTGGCCCTGATGTGAAGTTCTTGCGCCCTGTTTACTGTTCGTCCTTTGTCTGCCTCTGTGGTCTGCTGTGCATTGGATGTTTGACTCAGTGGACGCACTAACTGCCGACTGGCGAGAAGTTTTTCTGTTGGTGTTTTCTACAAAACAAAGTGAAGGTAACTCTTATGTTACATGGATCTACACTTGTATTCAACTGCAATAGAAATTTAAAGGGAAGAAACCCACGGAAAAGAGAATTTGAGAGCTTCTAACAAACCTAAATATCATGGTATTTTCAGAGCCAGTAGAAATTGAAGGGTGCCTGGATTTTCCCTTTATGACTGATGGTGGATTTCCACTGTCCCGTAATTTTTACGTGCATATGCACTTAAGTTTTACTCACGTAAATAAAACACAGACAATGTTTGGAAGGTCACGTGTAAACGTAAATGGAATATGAGCGTAACACGCCAATTAAAAACATATAAACAACTTACCTTTGGCGTGACAGTTTGCTTTAATGGCTGTCAAACTTCAAACGTTTGGCAGCAAAACATGTCATGTCACGCACCCTATTAGAACATGTTTTATCTCATGTCCACGCTTAGATGCAACCAACTTTAAAATACTTAACATAAAAATGATATACAATTTATTGTTGTATATTCTCTGATGACAAGCAATGTAACAACAGATGCACATCTTACGATTTCAAAACATTGATCCCTGTCTCACCATTTTCTGTGTTTCTATTAAACCTTTAAGGAACTCTACTTTCTTGTTGTATTCAGTCATTGTGTCTGGACTTGGTTTGCTGTAACAAGACAAAAAAAATAACATTTAATGTTTTGATTTTTTCCAAAAATGTATCTTACATGTAACTCGACAAGCTGATAGATCCAAAATATTTTGATTTCCCAGTTTTTGAAAAGGTAGGTTTTTTTAATCATGAGAGTCATAACCTGAAATGCTAGCTACACTAAAGTCTTAAACCACCAGTATCTTCATTAGAGGTTTTTTTCACCACGTGAATGTTTTCTTTGAATTGAAGAAAGTTTAGTTACAGAGTGATAAAAAAGTGAAACTTGGAAGCTGATACCAGCCAACCATAAGGGATGTAGCTTTAATTTATAACAGATGGGAAATGGCATTTGATGGGCAGATAATTATATGAGAAGAAAACAGTTGCCTTTTTTAAGACTGCATTTTTTCAGCCTAAAAAATTATGTTGACAGCCACGTATTTTTCCTGGCTCCTGGCTATTATCAACATCCCTGACCACTGATGTCTACAGTACGTTAGAGACACAAGTCATCTGCCTTTCAGAATGTTGAATACTGACAGACAACCAACGGGAGATGTCTACCAAAGGGAGATGTCTACCTTTATGCTACTGATAGACAAATGAAACTCATAGATCAGTCAACTATGAATGTCCACTTAACAGTGGTTTCTGTCACATAAATAGTAAACGTAATAAGAAAAAAGTGAATCTGCACCGACACCAGTGAGTTTCTTTCTTTATTGACAGTTTGATTGCAGGCTAAACACTGGTGGGTCTAGGAGACGGTGCCAAGGGGTGAGGGCCCCCACCTTGATTTTACACCAAACTAAAGCCAACAGGTCAAAAAAAGTTATTTTCAAGGCTGGAGTCCCCTCTTATCCGGGTTATGGATGACATTACTTACTTACTGCACTGTAAAAGAGACGTTCACTTTTATTTGACGAAAGTTTAACAGTTACTGCACACATACGGTAACAGGAGAAATGTGGGTCTGGCTTCTATTGCCAGATTAGTTGATACAGATTAGGTCATTACAGCGCGTTTCTACGATATAGGAATACTTCCGTCCGCCTTATTGGGGTACCAAAATCAAATGTCGATTGTCGGTATACCAAAACGTTGAACTCTTTCCTTTAATATGAAAAGACTTTCTTCTCCTTATTTAACTGGGTAATTTACTGGTAAAAAAGCTCTATTGTGATGGCTAAAATATTAATAATAAATACAATCGACCCGACATATAAAGACCCGTCAGAGTAAAGACTAGCTGTATCAGCTGTTTTAAGCTGATTATTTAAAAGCACTATTTCACACTGACGTATTGCTTGTTTAACTTTTATCTTATTACTCTGCATTTAAAAACTAACCTTTCTGACTTTTTTAGTTCGGCAGCTTGCCTCTGTAACGTTAAAACATACTGCAATATGGAGTAGAAAAACTGTGAAAAATTGTTACAAACCCGACCAGACAGCTGGGGTCGACAGTTTGTTCAAATCCTATGAAAGGTAACAGTAGAAAACAATTTTTTTGATGAATGCTATAACTCACTTTTTCCAACCTCCAGCTTACGTTTTCTTTATTCTCCTGGATTTCTGAGGCCATCGCTTCGCAGCGTTCCAAAAGACGGCGGAAATTGATTTCCAGCTTCGAGGCCGCCATGGTGGTAAACCTCGCTATGTACTTCGTGTAAGAAAAATATGTGTTCGTCCTACGACCGCAAAGCATTTATTACGGAACGAATGGTTTTTAAAAAACCTGTGGTCTGAAGGCTGTCCGCGAAAAAACGCTGATTCTTGTATTTGAGCTACATGATAAAAGGCCTAGAAAATCTAGACATAAAGTGGTTAATGTGATTTTGATTGGTTGATTGTCTAAACATTCGCATAATTATGTATAATTATGAAACATTTTAGCGAGATTCAGGGGATGGCATCCCTGGCACCCTTTCGTTTAGTTCAAACATTTCGATAAGCGCAATCTATATCTTAAACAGCAAAATTGCCCTTGTCTTCGAAACTGAAATGCTAAATTGAGCTGCGAGTGAAGGATCATTGCGGAGAGTCGGTAGTTTTTTCGTTTAGAGCCGCTTTGTTATTTCGGCTGCCGGTGATTTTGTTTACGCGAAGTTTTCTGAGATCAATGTTATAATTCGACCTTCTTGCTATTTTTACCGTCAAAAGTAATGATTCTGTTTGCTTTTCTTTCTTGTCTCCTTGTTTTTGTCTTCGTTAAGGACCAAATAGCATCTTTTCAATTAAAGCAAATCATTGTGTTTTTGAACTATACGTGTTCCGTGTGTGTGTTTATTTCATTGCGTGATTGCGACCGAGTTTGATTGTAGAATTTAGTACAGCCGGTTAAGAGTTGTGCTGCATGCAGTTGATAGTTTGAACGTTAAACATGAATTACGGTCGAAAAAAATAAAGCAGTTCTGTATCATGCAGACATTTCCAAACGATATTTCTCGGTTTGCCACTTGAAAATCGTGTTTTACTTTTTGCATGAATTAAAGCAAAGGTCAAGGAGTAGTGACGTCACTGGACGGCATTAAAGGCCGGTCGATTCAGACGTTACTGAGGGAGTAATAACGACTCGAAGTAATCGGATGAAATTCAGGCTAGTTTTAAAATAAGTTATGATTTCGACAAAAAATTTAAAATTTCTTGCTCTTCTGTTTTTGGGTAAGATAGCCCTAAGAAACGTTTGGTAATGTTCCACTTTAATAAGAAGCTTTTTAGACAATAAAAATATCGATTTTACGAAGTCGCCATCCTAAATTAACTGGAAAAAAATTGGAAATTTCTTACCAAAATAAAATTGGGATTTTTTGCCTCATGACAGGTTCCCATTTTTTATAGTCAAACAAAGTTTAAAAAGTTTCTTTTTTATCTAGAACCTCTTTTTTTAATACTCCAGATGATCAAGAAACTCTATCTTTAAGCTTTTTTTTGGCAAAAAAAATTTTTTAATTTTTTTTTACCAAAATCATGGGTTAGCCCCTTTAGAAAATTGCGATTTTTGGCCTTATGAAAATTTTCCATTTTAGTGGTCTAAAAAAGTTTCCTTTTTATTTCTGAACATCAGGAAACTCTATGTTTAAGCTTATTTTGGCGAAAAACCAATAACGAAAAAATTTGAATGCTTTTTTTACCAAAATCGTGGGTTAACCCTCTTGGAAAATTGGGATTGTTGACCTTATGAAAGGTTCTCATTTTTGTGGTCTAAAAAGGTTTCTTTTTTGTTTAGAAGACCACTCACTTGTTAGCTTATTTTGACAAAAAATTAAATTTTTGTTTGGATTGTTGGACCTAAATCGTTGGTTAACCCCTTTGGAAAATTGTAATTTTTGGCCTTATGAAAAGTTCTCATTTTTGTGGTCTGAAAAGGTTTCTTTTTTATTTAGAACCAGTAGAACATCAAGAAACTCTATTTTCAAGCTTTTTTAAATCGAAAAACAAACAAAGAAAAATTTTAAAATTTTTGACGCAAGTCGAGGGTTAACCCCTTTTGAAAATTGCGAGTTTTGGCCTTTTGAAAAGTTCCAATTTTGTGGTCTAAAAAGGTTTTTTTAATTATTTAGAACATCAAGAAACGCTATACAGTTCAAGGAACTTGTGTTGACCACAATCACAACAAGAGCAAAAGAACAGTCAGTTTGAGCACCGACTTAGTATATAAGTTGTGTATCCTAGATTTACAGACATCTAGGAAGCTCTTGAGGATTGATGATCACAACAATTGTAGAGAAACAGTCAGTATGATAACTGAATGAGAATGCATGTTGGCTCTTGTGGATTTTGTAAGGTTTGGTGGTGGGCTGTTCAACAGCTAGGTTGACACCGTAGCAAAAAGGGCAGGCATCAGGCATCACAAGCACCCAACCACAGTCAGCCATTATCTTGTGGCTGCTGTGATTTTTTATTAGGAGTTTGATCCTGGCCGAGAACAATCTCTTTTTTCTGATATCTACTTGTCTAACAAATTGCATAATTCCTCTTCTGATCAGTTACTAAGATTCGGAAGATTCGGAAACTCTTACAGCATTACGGAATTTGCCGACAACAATCGTTTAGGACGGTTTCGGCTTAATAGAAAGCGGTATTTTGACATTACTTGCGAGTTGTTCCCCGACCGGTTCTACCATGCATAAATAGGCCACTTGCACTAAGAGGTCACGTGACCATTGCTTCCTTCAAACAATGAGTTGGAATATTGCTGATGCCAAAAATTGACAGAGCGCATAAAAATTAGCTTACACCCGAAATTTGAGAGGAAACGCATTTAAGGGAGATATTTTATGACACTTTGATTTTTCAACAAAGCAGTATGATTTGTATTGGCCGCCATGTTGGAAGGCATACTCTTGCCCTCCAATATGGCGGCCAAAACTACTTTTTGCTTATATCTTGTTAAACGTTTGATAGTTACGCTCAGATGTGCTGTAAACGTTACCACATCACTTTTTCAACATCCTCCTTGAAGTTTAAGTGCAAAGCTTGTGTTGAGAAAGAAGTAATCGTAATTTTAAAAATCACAATTTGGTCACGTGACCAGGGAGGAACTTATTCATTTTAAGAAAATGGTGCGGGCATGCAAAACCAAATTACTATTATTCTATTTAAGATATGACCCACTAATAGTTTTTCAAAGGCAAAATCATATAGCTTTCATTTTCATGAAAACTACGTCACATGACCTCTTAGTGCAAATGGCCTATTCTACTTCACAAGAAGGCGTTGATTTAGTTTCTTTTCATCGAAGCGCGTTTTCTAGCTCATTTTCTTTCGGAGTGTTTGAAAATTAACACATGATTAAATCAAAGGTAGCAATAGAATTAGATTAGGTGAATTTTGATCTTAATGTGAACACGTCATTCTGTAATTTAAACAAATATATAGTATTGCCTTTTATATGAGATAGGAAAGAGTAACGGAAAAATATATTTTATAAAAAGGAAGCGACAGTGCAAATAAAACTGTAACACTATCCTTTTGTTGTTTTACTAGCTTATCGGCTACTCTTGTCTAAAAGAGTTTATAGGGTGTCATGTTCTTTTTCGTTTAACGTTTCTTGGAAACTGTCCACCTACCCCTCCCCTAGGCCAGCATTAACACTTACTTCTCACTTAAGGCAAAATGTTGGCTTAGGGGAGGGGAAGGCAGTTTCCTGGAAACGTATAATGAAACCTTTACCCAAACACAAAATGCCCCTGTAGAGTTATGACGAATATATCAAACAAATTTCATCAGGGAGCGCAAACTACAACATTTTGTTTGGTGATATTTGAAGGCATACCATAAGTTAAAACTTGAAAATGCTGGCTCAACTTTGTCAAGTTTCAATGCATGTCCATCTTTGCTATCCATAGTCAACAGGAAACAGTTTCAGTACCTAAATTAGACTACGAGTAGTCCCCCATTTTTCCTCAGGGATAGTAGAGCAAGCGAAACGCGAGCGCGCGTGACAATAACCCCACGCGAGAAAATGCGACACGCGGCGGGGAGAGAGAGTGGGGTGATTAACTACGTCTGGAGCATGGAGGAAGGTGAGAGTTTGCTTCTCATGTCTTAACCCTTTAAGCACCTCGATCAACATACAAATTCTCCAGACTGGCCTTCATACATTTCTTGAAAAATTGGTTGAGAATTTGATAAAGGATCAAAGCATATTTTCTCTTTAGGGATCATTTCATTAATTCTGATAACCTTTCTACCTGTAGCCTCCCACGCAGACGTTCTTAGGCGTTCGTCACGCAATCATTCCTCCCCTTTTTTTAAACAAATGATTTATGAATGTGAAGTACTTTGCATTAGCGGATTCCTTTGAAAAGTCATGCGCAAATCTCCCTTAAAATTGCGGATTTTGGTAACCCTTCAACGCAGACGTTCTTAGGCGTTCGTCACACAATCAGGTTATAGTCTAAAAAGCCTTTTTTTTATAAACAAAATCATAAAATACATATCTTGGGCTTTTTCAAAGAAAAGCAGATTCGAAAGAAATTTCGAATTTTTGACCAAAATCATGGGGGAAATTCACATTTTTGACTATCTGAAAGTCTAAAACGCCCGCTTTTTATCTACAACATCATAAAAATACATGTCAAGGCATTTTTAAAAGAAAAGCAAACTCAAAAGAAATTTTGAATTTTTGACCCGAAAATCATGGGTTAACCCCTTTAGAAAAATGAAAAATAGCTAAATATGCAAATTTCGAAAATGGCATCGTAATAGTTTAGAATCCTTCTTTTTTATAAAAAAAAAAATATATATATATATATATCTAGCCGAATGTTTGAAAACATACCTCAAAATGGGCCAGAATATTCGCACAGAAAGCTGGCGATAGCCAGCTTTCTGGTCACTGCGGTGAGAAAAAACATAGGGGGCTTGCTGTCCTGGTTGGTCTCATTGGCAAGCTCAGTCCCTGAGCTAACTCGCCATGGTTTGGAAAGGGGCCTCCATGTCAATCCCTAGCGGGGAAGGGTGCTGCAAAAGCGTTGTACCTTCCGTTAGTCCTGGTCTGGGAGAGTCAGTGCACTGGTCATGTCTGCCTTTAGTTTGTCATGTCAAATTCTTATAACGTTTGAGGCCCATTGGCCAATGAAAGCATTCCCCTCAAGCACGTGCTAGGCTGGGGGTGTAGGAAGTCAGGGGGGGTGA